TTTTGTTTGGTCATTACCCATGTGGTGATTTTTTTGTTAAACAAAAATCACCTTAATGAAAAATGTGATCTTTTTGAGTGGCTTTTATTTTGTGAAGTACGGTAAAAAGAAACGCGAGATATATTCCAGACAGCTAATTTATCTCACTGTGAGGAAACTACAATAGCTGAGTAGACATTTGTTGCGCCCACACAAATTCCCTTTGGGTTTCTCGTACCTCATTGACGTTGAGATCCAATTATCGCCTTCTGGCGATATTTCATGCTGCAAAAACTTCAACATGAATTTAACTAGCTTTCTTTATAAGCTTATCATCGTGCGATCGCTTGAATCACATTCATCTTCATGATTGATCACAACCGCGTTTCGTGTCCCGCGGCTCAAAAAGGAGGAAGTAGCTCATGACGTCTTGACTTCTCTACATCAAGTAATTCAACGAGAATTGACCAGTAGCTCAGATACTCTATCGCCGCAGCCAATATTCACGTAACAACCTCCTCTAGCCAAATAAAAACCTTACAAAGCTGAACTACAACGGCCCAGTTGCCGATAGCTCGTTGATACGACGGTCGTTTGACTCCATCAGCATAAAAGCATTACCATATACAAAACAATTATTGTGTTTTGACAATAATAACATTCTAATTATAAATGGGTATTTTACCAAGACTGATCAAAGATCCTCCCTGCCTCACACTTAAGTGATGGCTTTCACTGCTAACGCCTCTATCAACTGGACGACCTTAAGTGCGCTCCGGAGCCAAAAGCATGGTGTTCTTAGTGCAAGCGATCCTTTAAGACTGAAATATATTTCGATCATCGTCAACCAGCGCGCATTTTTTCACAGCAGAAATGATGAAGAAAGCATGGCGAGGCCAGAAGGCGTCGCAAAGCTTGAAGGCTCGATTGACAAACACCAGCATTCATCATTTCTACGTAGTATTGATTTGAAATGTCCGACATCGCAACGAAAATTGTCCGCACTGGTTCAGGCAGTAGTCAAGACCAAGACAAATACCGGCGGTGGGATTATGAACAATAGAATCATGCTTTTAGATTGGATACTGATGTCTAATACTATCTACAACTAGATTTTGTTCCGCAGATAGTAATTCAAAGCCTTTGCACAGCCTACCGAGGTATGCATATTGATGAAAAAAAAAAGTTTTTACTCATCTTAGCACAGGATCTTCATATTGACACGAAGGCGGTGGGTAGCAAGTACTCTTTTTTTTGCCTCTGGTACTTACGTGACATGTACTTAAGGCTTTGCAAAGCGCTGCTCAATATGAGCAGAACTTTGATAAGGTAAAGGACCCTTGCGGTGGACACGTGAACTGGAAACACGAAAATGTTGAAAGATACCTGCGTACGTTCAAAAATTTGCGCAACGCTTTCACACCACTTTATGAGGTAGTTCACTTTGCATAATCTGAAAATTACAGACGAGTTGACAAGACTGGTGCAAATGCCTAGACATTTTTCCAACAGATTTTGTCACAAAGAGAGAACGGCATGCTGTTTTTGGTGCATATGCGTGCGGACCTACTTCAAATTTTGCGCAAGAGTGCTTCTCATACCGAAACTACTTCTCTACGTTCACTTGACGCGAGTTTGAAAGTATGTTTCTCCCTTAAATCGAACGTAAAATCATACCGTTATCAAAGTGCTGCTCGTGCCATATATATAGCAATATCTGGTATCATGGTTCGGCGTGGGATTTCTTCGCTTAAAGCGTGTAACTTATGAGCACTCTCCTGGCCAGCTTCTGGAAAAGATCATTCGGTATGAGGCTGTACATCCTGTGGGCACAATTGCCGAGCTAAAGAGGCGGCTTGGTATGTGTGAGATCCGTTCTGGCTAATGCAATATGTCTTAAACGCTGTTTAACTGACAAAATTGTTCTTGCTGCTTATCATAGGCAACGGTCGCCGTTGTTTTGCTTTTTTTCATCCAAGGTTTGGATTTCGTGATATTTAGTTTCGACTAAACTGATTATTTGATTGCAGTATTCCAGAAGAGCCTTTAGTCTTTGTACATGTAGCGTTGATGCAAGAGATGGCAACCAGCATGCAGTCAATTCGCGATGGAACGGAGCAATTTGGTGACACGTCTCAGACAAAAGCTGCAATATTCTATTCCATCTCTTCGACGCAAAAAGGACTTTCGGTAAGGAAAAATGATAGTTATGTAGGCACCAAATACCTTACTTGCCCCATCTGTCTTTCATAGGGAGTGGACCTTGGCAACTTTTTAATTAAAGAAGTCGCCAAATCTCTTAAAAAGGAGTGCCCGCATTTAAAAACTTTCGCAACTTTGAGTCCTCTGCCCCACTTTATGTCATGGCTCGAAACCCAGCGGTATAAGACTGATGATTTGTTGGTGACTTTACCTGAGCTCGATGCCTTGGTTGATGTTCTTCATGAACGTGGCAATGCTACTCAATTGGACTCACCACCTGTGGCTATTGTTCTGAACGCACTTATGATTGATAAGTGGAGTGAAGACCCAATTTTGACTGCAGTTCTGAAGCCCATCCTGCTAAAACTTGGGGTTCGGTACATATATTATGAAAAGAAGCGCGGGAAAGCACTAGATCCCGTTGCGAACTTCCATGTGCGAAATGGCGCAATCTTTGAGCGAATTAACTGGCTGGCCGATGTGTCCCAAAAGGTGCGTAAATTACCTTAAGTGGATGCTTTGTCATCTTTTCTTATCGGTGTATTATGACATTTTTCATGCTGTAAGGGTCTTGCTCAAAGCGCTGGGATGATGATAAACTACAAGTACGATCTGGCACACGTGGAGACAAATAATGAAAACTACTTGATGCACAACATCATTCCGGTTGGACTTCAGCCGCAGCAAGTACTTGGGGCACGCATTATTTAGAGATAACGAAGATTTTCATCGGGTTAAGCACCTTTTTTCTAAAATCGAAGAGTGTGTTTAAAAATCGCTAGTTTTAATTATAATATTATACCACAGCAGCAGCCGTTGCGATAGTTTTGCAGATCTTTGAACGGTCGTTGAACAATTAAGAAAATTGTGAAAGGATCATCACAGACATCGCTATGGTGCTTGCACAAGATGAGATCGACGCATGTAGGGAAGCATTTCTCAACTTTGACAAAGATCGGTGAGGCTTTAAATGATTAGATTAATATATAAATTAGCGAGCAACAATGTGAAAGAGCACGGAAAATGTAGGAGCGGCACTATTGATGTTTGGGAACTGCGGCAAGTGCTCGAAGGTACTTCTAAGATCTCACTCAGGACGAAGTTAATTGTTTTTTATCAGCAATGGGACAACAGCCGACCGAGGAAGAACTTTTTCAAATGATCAGCGAAGTTGATGAAGATATGAGTGGCGCCATTGGTACTCAACTTGTTAGTTAATTTACAGTGAGTGGTGAACTGAGAGTGGACGTTGGCTGCTAGATTTTGCAGAGTTTTTGCAGGTCATCGATAATCAGAAAGATCGAGCCGCCATGTTCGAAGATGATAGCGATATGAGTACGAACATAATCTCGATTAAGTTCGAAGCATAGGAACGCTAACTTTTCCTTGCAGTCGATGCATTCGTTGCATGCGGTGGAAAGCCAGACAAGACTGGATTTGTGCGCAAAGAAACTTTAGTGAAAATCGTCAAAACTGATTTCGGTCTTACTATCAATATCGAGGAAATGATCAATAAGCTAGATGTGAATGGTAGCGGAGAAATTGAATTTGAAGAGTTTAAAGCCATCCTGACGTAATTAAGTAGCGTCAAGCTGGATGATTTGAGTTTCGCTTTGTGTATTTGCGAGATCCCTTGAACAGAATTATCATTTCAAGAGAACTACTTGCAATTCTTGAAATTCCAGAATGCTACTTCGATGCACCAAATATCATCTTCAATACCGGAACAGGGACCGACCGGTATTTGACGGTAAATCATATTGGTGCAGAAAACAACCATGAGACCTCTTGTACGGTGATAGGATAATTGCCTTGGTGATAGAATCTAGCCTGTGTAGGCACTACTGTGACCATATTCATATGTCTCAAATAACACTTTCGTAGTCTACGTGGCGGATGCTGGCGGCGCAGCGGCATTGTTCTTAAATTTGATGCTCCGTTTGACAATCCCAGCCGGCTTGGTGCCAGCTGCGTTGGCCAGGCTATGTCATCACAATTATTATTGTCAGATCAGGGTGCAGATACCAATGTCATAAGAAACTGGTTGCTGATTGCAGTACACCTTCATGTACCATACTATTTACCGGTGTGTACGGTATCTTGCCAGCCCCCCCCCTTGACCCATTCCGCTTTAAACTGTCCATTGCGCCAGCGTTCTGAGTTTTATCGAACTGGTAAGACGCCACCGAGAAGGATTGCAAGACATCATGAGTGACTTACAGATGGTGACGGGCGCAAAATGTTTCGTACCGGACGAAACACACGTGTGGCTTGCGGCTGAAGTGCTTCGTGACGAGAATTCGGGTGACGGCAAGACGCGCAAAATCTATTGCCGGGTAGAGTTACCCGACGGTACAATCGAGGAGCGCTGTGTAGATATGCTGGCAAAAAAAACCAAGGCACTGCTGGATGTGCACCAACTTGAATCTCTTCCCTATCAGAACGAAAACGTCGGACGTGAGGGAATCGAGGACATGATCACACTTAATTACTTGCATGAGGCCGCCATTTTGTACAATGTTAAAAAGCGCTTTCTTTGTGAGCTTCCTTACACGTACACAGGGGATATTTGTATCGCCGTTAATCCGTACAAATGGTTACCGGATCTTTACGCTGAAAAGCAGCATCTGCGGTACCTTAACCAGCCTAAAGAGGAACTTCCGCCACACGTGTATGCCACATCCGTTGCTGCTTATGACAATATGCGGCGCTCGGAAAAAAATCAATCCATCCTTGTTAGTGGTGAGTCCGGTGCTGGTAAAACAGAGACGACTAAGATCCTCATGAACCATTTGGCTACAATCGCGGGTGGTCTCAACAACTCAACTATAAAGAAAATTATAGAAGTCAATCCGCTGCTCGAATCCTTCGGAAATGCCAAGACTGTCCGCAATGACAACTCGAGCCGATTTGGCAAGTTTACACAGTTGCAATTTGATGAAAATGGAACTCTTGTTGGCGCTAAATGTCGCACGTATCTCCTGGAAAAGACGCGAGTAATTCATCACGAAGCACCTGAGCGCAACTACCACATTTTTTATCAGCTTATTGACTCTTCTGACGTTTCATCAGAGCTACAGCTCGAATCGTCCAAAATTTATTCGTATACGGGCGACAATAGAGACCAAAAAATTGAAGGTCTGTCAGACGAGAAGCACTTTAACAAGACAAGAGAAGCTCTTGAGCTCGTGGGCTTGTCTCGTGATGACCAACAACCACTATTTGAAGTGTTGGCTGGTGTGCTTCACCTTGGTGAAGTGCAACTGCAATCGGATCCTACTGATGACGAAAAGTCGCTGATTCCCGAAAATGACGGTGGGGCTAATTCTGCAACGCACATGCTTGGTGTCACATGGGAAGCTCTTCAAACGGCACTTTGCTCCCGTACCATGCGTGCGGCCAATGATGTGTACAGTGTGCCGCTAAAGAAAGAGTTGGCGATGGACTGTCGTGATGCCCTAGCCAAGGCTATTTACTCGAATGTATTTGATTGGCTTGTGAATACAATCAACCAGTCATTAGCTGATGATGGCCATATGGCCAATCACGTGGGTGTGCTCGACATTTTCGGGTTCGAACATTTCAAACACAATTCATTCGAACAATTTTGTATCAATTTTGCCAACGAGAAGTTACAACAAAAATTCACTCAAGATGTCTTCAAGACCGTGCAGATCGAGTACGAGGAGGAAGGAATTGTGTGGGACCACATCGAGTACGCCGATAATCAGGATGTACTGAACGTAATCGAGTCGCGGATGGGTATAATATCACTGCTAAACGAGGAAGTTATGCGACCAAAGGGTAATGAGGAGTCGTTTATGTCCAAAGTAACATCATTGCACAAGGATGAAACGCATGTCATCGAATTCCCTCGCACGTCTCGCACCGAGTTCCTCATCAAGCACTATGCTGCTCCTGTGATGTATGACTCGGTGGGATTTCTTGAGAAGCACAAAGACTCACTTCTGCCGGATTTATCTGAGCTCATGCGTGGATCGTCCAAGCCGTTTATCGCTAAACTTTTCGAGTCCAAGCCAGAGCCAAGTGAAGCTGATTCGGAAGCCTCAGGAAACCGCCGAAAGCGGGGTGGAGCTTTGTCAATAACGACTGTTGGTACTCAATTCAAAGAGAGCTTGACAGAACTGATGGCTACAATCAATTCGACACGTGTGCACTACGTGCGTTGTATCAAGCCTAACCCGATTAAAAGCGCAACTGTGATGGATCAGAGCATGGTAGTGTCTCAATTGCGATGCGCTGGTGTTATTGAAGCCATTCGCATCTCGCGTGCGGCGTACCCAAACCGGTTGCAGCACACCGAGATTCTGGACAAATTCTGGCTGTTTGTACCGAGTGGTGGCCACACAGTTGAAGAAAAGTGTCAATTGCTTATGGACAAACTAAAGCTTGAATCCCCTCGTCAATATCAAATGGGTAAAACCCGCGTGTACTTCCAACTGGGAGTGCTTGAAGAGCTTGAAGATCGCCGCAAAAAGTTCTTAGATGCTAAGGCCACTTACCTGCAATACACCATGCTTGGCTTTACGCAGCGCATCAAGTATCTTCGAAAACTTGAGGCAATCATAAAGTTGCAATCGGTCATCCGATGCGTGATTGCAATGCGCAGATACAACATGGTTCTCAAAAATATCATCGTGGTGCAAGCTCGCTGGCGAGGCGTCCAAGGCCGCAAGGTGGCTGCCGACATAAAGAGTAATCACTACGCTGTTATTATACAGCGATATGTGCGTGGTTTTGTGAAGCGTCATCGCTACGTTAAGATGCGCGCGATGGTCATTCGCGTGCAGGCCCTGGTTCGCATGACAATCCAGCGGCCAAAATATTTGGCTGCTCTCGATGAAAAGCGCCGTGAGGCAGATATGGCGTACCAGTTGCATAAGCTTAAGGCTGCCCTACAAGACGAGCAAGAACGTAATGCTCAACTGCAGCGTCGCAACAGCTTGACGACAGCGGACTCTTCCGCTGCCTCGAGTGTTGTTATGGCTGATGCCGGTGGTATGATCGAAACTCTCACAGACGAGAACAAGAAACTTCGTGAGAAAAACGAGGATATGAAGGCTGCGATGAAGGGTATGAAAGCGGAAATTGAGAAGTTCAAGAATGACAAGGAGGTCTCCTCGGCTGGCAACCATGTGAAGGTCCGTCAGCTACAGGACACTGTGCGTGACAAGGACAAGAAAATTGCTCAGCTTGAGGCTGAAAACACTAAGCTGACAGAACAGATTGCTAAGCTTCACGCGGAAGGTATTGTTCCCGACAAAAAATCCATTCCGAAAAAGTCGATCTTCCGTACACTCGGTTCAAAGAAGGAAAAGAAGCCACGTGAAACAGTTTTAATGGACTCGCTGACTGGATCAGACGACCTTAACCGTCATTCATCAGAAACGCGTCCGTCGGAGCGCCACTTCCCGCGTATGCCGAGCATGAGTGTGGGAAGCCGTTTCTGGAACTCAAATAAAAAAGGGGACAACGGTGATGGCCTAGACGTTTCTGAGGTCGAAGGTGAAGATAGTCCAACTAACAGCTATACTACGCGCAACACGATCGTAAAAAGCATGGAAGTTGGGGTGACTGGAGCTATGTCGAGTCTGAAAGGCCGTATGTCGGTAGTGAAGGGAATGTACGACAGTCGAAACAAGCGAACAAACAGCAAACCTGAGGAGGCCGCAAACTCTTCCGATAGTAATTCGTCGACAAACGTCGTTTCTTCAAAGAGCGCTAAGGTCAAGCCGGTCGTAAAGCCGGCGGATCGCCCTGTCCGCGAGTCATTTAATCTGGATGCGTTGCCTGAGGTGTCATTGCCTGTCGGCTGGGAGGCAAAAGTTTCTCGTTCCACAGGCCGTGTGTACTACGTGAATCGCAAGCTTGGCAAATCGCAATTCGAGCGCCCCACACTGGCCTCACTCAAGGCACAGAAGCTGGCGCGCCAGAAATCGGGTCCCGCGCCATAAGTAGATAGCGGACGCTAGGGATGAGCTCACTTACGGTGATGTCGCGTTACTGCGTCTTTGTGAAAGAAACCTTTAGCGTTTTCAGCAAGCTAGGAAAATCAATTCATGATAAACATATCAATACTTACCATCTATATTTTAAAAAGTAGTCAAACTTCTTGTTTTGCAGATTCAGATTCTGGGTTATGCAAATGTTCCTTGTGCTAGTTCCGCGACCGATCCATTCATCTTGATCTGACAAAAATCTACTAAAATTAGCGATCACGACCTAAATATTTATATGCCTGGATCCCGCTGTAGAAGCGAATGACGCTGTAACTCGATCGATACACGTATACATCATCGGTCCCCCGGCCAGAACGGAAGATAAGCTTGCAAAACGGAAGGCTTTTCTCCCAACGAAAATTCTTGGTTCCACAAGAATTTCCGTTGGAAGCTTATCGCACTCATCTGAGTGCTCAACGAGGTGGCTCTCGTGTACCCGCAATGGGAACAATACCTGTAGTGCTCGTCCCTGGCAAAAGCGCTACAGATGACAAAGCGCTCA